TTGATACGTGTTTCCAGGTTGGAAACGCTCCATTTTTTGCAAAACGCCTTTCTCCTCCAAAAAAGGAGGCTCAGCCCTCCCCAGGTTTGTTCATAACAATAGGTTGATTGATGCGGTTTTGTTACGTTAGAACAATCTGGAGCCTAATAAGTTGTAACTTCTTAAAAATAGTAATAATTAGGCAAATCACCGAAGATCTGAACGTACACCCTGTGCTGTAGTTTGGGTCATGCAATGCAATAGTCATGTCTATATTTGCACACACTATATGTTCTCCTTATATACATTTACGGAACAGCCTTCACAATTCCAGCACGCTGACCTAGTTGTTCACGGTTTGACCTGAAGGATTCAGCTTCCACTGAACTGCTACTGCTGTGTGGAACAGGAGTTCCAGACTTAGAAACAATTTGGTCAGATAGCTTTGAAAATATTACCTCTGGAGTTCCTGGCAGTACCTGTGGCCTCGGGGCCAGTGTCCTGTGTCTCATTTCTGGAGGAAACACGTGTGACAGTGACTCTGTCTGCACAACTCTGATGCCGTGCAGTAAAGTTGCTCTTTTTTGAATAAATTTCTGTGGGACTCAGGCCTGAGTCCTGTTCAAAGCTGTGGGCTGTGCTTTGGGTGACGCCACAGCTTTTGGCACTCACCCTCCCAAATGCCACCAGCCTGCAGATGGAGGGTGAAAAGGAAGAGGCAGGACCTGGAGACCAGCAGCAAAGGTTTAATAGGTGACTTAGCTGGGACCAGCTCTCTGCTAGAGACCAGGAAATCCTGGCTTGGTGCAGCAGGGAGCTGGGAATGGAGCTAAAATGGTCTTCGAGGGAGTAATTCCAACTGATAGTAGCTGCTTTGTTAATTACTCCTTCCTAATTACATTCAAATTAAATGCTTCTATCCTGTGTAGCAGTGGAATGCGGTGAAGTCACATTTCTTTGAGCTGAGCCAACTTGGTGTGATGTGGCAGCTGAGCTTAAAATAATAGTTAACCCCTGAGCTTTGCAGCCCGGGGAGGAGATGGAACCTGCCAGGCAGCACTTCCCAGAGCCTGTGCCTATCAATGTTTAATCTTTTATAGACTTGAGTCCGGTAAAAACACAGTGCCACGTTTGAGATGTTAAATGAGATGATGAGTGAGAAGCTGAACACGAGCAGACAACGTGCGCTGGCAGCACAGAGGCCAATAACCGTGTCCTGGGCTGCACCCAGAGCAGCGTGGGCAGCAGGTGGAGGGAGGGGATTCTGCCCCTCTGCTCCGCTCTCCTCAGACCCCACCTGCAGTGCTGCCTCCAGTGCTGGGGACACCAACACAAGAAAGACAGGGACCAGTTAGAACTAGTCCAGAGGCCACCAGGATGATGCGAGGGCTGGAGCAGCTCTGCTGTGAGGACAGGCTGAGAGAGTTGGGGCTGTTCAGCCTGGAGAAGAGAAGGCTCCAGGGAGACCTTCTAGTGGCCTCCCAGTACCTGAAGGGGCTACAAGAAAGCTGGGGAAGGACTTTTTATAAGGGCAGTTAATGACAAAACAAGGGGAAATGGGTTTAAGCTGAAAGAGGGGAGGTTTAGATGAGATATTGGGAAGAAGTTCTTCACTGTGAGGGTGGTGAGACAGTGTCCCAGGTTGGCCAGAGAAGCTGTGGCTGCTCCTCCCTGGAAGTGTTTGTGGCCAGGTTGGATGAGGCTTTGAGCAACCTGGTCTAGTGGAAGGTGTCCCTGCTGCTGGCAGGGGGGGTGGAACTGGATGAGCTTTAAGGTCCCTCCCAACCCAAACCAGTCTGGGATTCTATGATTCTATAAATGAAGCCGTTTAAACCCCAATCAGGGAGATGGGGGCAGCTTTTAATTTTGCCTGGGATTTTGGTAATAAAAATGTAACTGACATAGGGTTATTACTGACCCAGGCGTTGCGCTGCCGTTCGGAGCGATGTCGGTGTTTCTGTAGCGGTTTCTAAGAGGCTGTTGCTCATGAAATATTGAACCAACGACCCGAGCTACTCGATGATGATGAACAGCCCAATCTAACGTTTTATTGAACGTGGCATTTATGAAAAATTAAACTGCTCATTTCTATTATATAATCAATAGCACATTAAACCATTTATCATTAATTTGATTAAAGAATGCTATTTTAGACCTCCCTGTTCCCCTTGCCTTCTCAGTCGAGTTTATCTGTGATGTCTGAGAAAGCACAAGGTAGTAGAAAGGAAAGAGCTAATGTGTAGCTGGCTACCTCTGCTGTCTTGGGGCCAGCAAATTTGGCAGATCCTCTTTTGCTAGATTATTTAGAAACCTTAACATGAAATAGTACAAACGTGCAGAGAAAACATTTATTTAAAGCTGACCTCGAAACTGAAGGAATTTCTGGCTTTGGTCCACAAATAACTGCATTTCTGTGCTGAAAACCCAGACTCTCCTTACCACAGGCTGGAAAAAAGATGTTACTGTAAGAAATGAACTTTTAGGGCCTTTATTTCCGTGGTGAAAGCTTGGAAACTCTGAAGGCTTCAGTCACTGAAGAGCATGAAGAGTAAATGGGATTTGAGTGTTTAAATTCTGTTATTGAAACTCATTTCTGGAGGCCTCTGCTCGCTGCTGGCGTCGTGTTCCCGTCAGTCCCAGCCCGTGGCCATAACACGAGGACTCATCTTTGCTGGGGGGGCAGCCAGTGCCCATCACCCTGCTTTGGTTATTTGATTCTGTGTGTTTCTCCTGGTGCAGAGAAGTGGCATCCTGCTTCCTGCACCCCAGGAACTGGTCCTTGCCTGGATGGTTTTTACTGGCCAGTTGGCAGCTCTGTGAAGCTGGATGCCCTACCTGTGCCTTTTGGGGAAGATCTGGTTGATTTTGGCACTGACCAGCCTCCAAGGAATAGGTGGCTGCTGCAGTGTAAGGGCTGCTGCAGGAATGAGATGAGAAAGGGGAGGTCACCAGGACTCTAAAGTCAAACACTAACATTGCTGTGAGGTTCTCCTGGGAGGTGGTAATGGACGGAGTGGGGGTTTTATTCCATTGATTCCGAGAGAGTCATCTGAAATCTGTTTCCACCACGTGTCTTTGGAGCGAGGCCAAGTGCTGTCTGAGATTGCAGAGTGGCTGTGGTAAAGAACAGGGCTTTGCTTTGTTTATTTTTTCTTGTCTGGATGCATTTAGTGGCACGCTGCTCTGGTTGTCCCTCTGCTGCAGGTCAGTGTGTGTCCGTGTGTCTCAGCACAGCTCAGAGCCCCCAACAGAGCTGTGTGGGACGGGGGGTGCTGGGGAGCTCAGCTGGGAAGGGACGAATGTAAAGCTGTAGGTTTGCATTTCTTACCTTTCCTGCTGTGCAGAGCCAGAGCTTTTTGATAGTTACAGTATCTGTGTGAGGGTTTGAGATTGAAATACGAGTAGAATTTGATGTACGTCTCTGGATTGAAGTGTTTTTATCCTTAAAGATTGCTTAAATAATTGCTTAAAAGTCGCTTAATAAAAATAATGTATGAGCACAGATTGCTCGAGCGTTTGGTTTTGTTTTGGTGTTTTTACTGAACTTTTTATACCTAGGAACACAGTGATGAGCTGTTGCTGTCCCTTGTTGCCCTGTAAATAGCCTGGAAAATGCCGGTGTGCGTAACTGAGCCTTGCATTAAGTTATGTAAGGAAACAAAAGCCCATTTTTTATTTAGTGTAAGTAGAAGTAGTGTAAGGCAGTAGCTGATGAACTTCGTTTTTAGGGCTGATCTTGAGAATGATCTTTTTTTAAATAGCATTGGCTGTATTTAATTAATTTTTACTGCTTTCCACAGGCCTCTCAGGAAGAGCTGAAAGCTGCCTACCGCCGGCTGTGTATGCTGTACCACCCCGACAAGCACAGGGACCCGGAGCTCAAAACGCAGGCTGAGCGGCTCTTTAACCTTGTTCACCAAGCTTATGAAGGTCAGGGGAAGCCAGAAACTTCTCAGGGGTTTTCTGGAAGGAGGGCTGTGTCTTTGTGCTTTTTGAAGAAGGTAGTTATTATTACAAAGTAATAATCAGATTTGCTGATACTTAGTGTTGCTTTGTTTCCTGCTTCTTCCTGTAAATCAGAGCAGCAATGCAGTGTAAATTCTGCAGTGAAGGAGCTGTGGAGCCTCTGTCTGATTTCCTGCACGTTGTAAACAGTCTTTTCACCACTTCTGAAAAGAGTCTCCCATAAGCAACTGGAGACTGAAAAGCTTTGAACAGAAAGTCCATTTTGTATTTTACTTCTGAACTGATGCATCCTGAATTTCTGTTCTCTTATCACCTGGTTGTTGTCTCCACTCTCTTTTGGCAAGTTCTTCCATGTTCTAGGACCCAGATAAGGAAAATGGATTCATAGCAGTTAGAGGTTTTTTTTTCTCATCCAAGGATGCCAAAGCCCTTTAAAAATATTGTGAATTAAGATGACATTTGCTTAAATCCTGGTGTCACCATAGGTGATACACAGTGTCACTGAGGCACAGGGTGTGATGCTGGAATGAGCCTGCAGTGTTTTGCAGTTGTGTCAGAGGCACCTGGAGTGCAAATGGATGAGAAGCTGGTAGGACCCTTCTGCATTAAAAAACTGATGCAGCAAACTGGGTCCTGTAACCTAAAGAGAAACTAAAGCAAAATGATGAATGAATATTCCTCTATTAAAACTCAGAGGAGCTATTTTTTTTTTAAACTCTAGTGTTTTCTGAATGATGAGCATTTGTTTCTTCCAGTTGGACTTGAACACGGGTGGAGTCTTTTACCTTGTCCCTAGACAGGCGTTAGGACACATGGGAGCTTTTGCTGGGGAGAACAGTGAGTGTCTTACATTGATGACATGGGGAATAAAAACTCAAGATGCTTCAATAATTTCATTTTCATGTGGTTTTGAGGTCTTACATTAGAGTTAGCTTTTGAGTTCCATGGCTTTGCTTGGCTCTGTGTTGCAATGTAGATGTAAATTGGTTTTTGTTCAGTACCAAATGTGAGTGTAATATTTTACAAGCAAAAATGTTGACATCTTGAAAATGAGCCACCCCACCTCCTGCCTATTTTCTCACCCTCCTCTTCTATCTTTTAATATCACACAACAAAAGATTCATTTTATCAGAATTTATAAAAAAGTAGTATCAACCCGTGACATTTAGCAAGTTCAATAATCTTCAAGTAGTTCAGATCAAAGCCCAGTTACTAGTATAAGCCTCTTTTTGCCTTAATGTACACACTTGGCTCCCTGAAGACTCATCAGTTACTCCACAGTCAAAAGAAATACATGCTAATGATCAAGCTGGTCTTGGAACTCTGTGGGAAAAGCACTGGTGATTTTTAATGTATTTTTTTTTTAAGGAAGGGTGTGGTATGAGAGATGAATTAAATATGCCTTACATTTTGGAAATTCTTCTTAATCCTGTGTGCAGTCTTTTTTCCAAAGTAGCTGTTCTGCAGTTTCCTGGTGTGGTTTATTTTCCCCATTGCACTGGATGACTTTTTGGGAGATTCATGTATGTGTTTTTGCAGTTACCCTGTAGCTGATGTGTGGCAAGGCACGCACTGTCTCAGAGGAATTGTTCTGTTGGTGCTTGGCCTGTCCCACGGGTGTGGACTGAGTGGGAAAGGGTCTGTGAACAGGGATGATAAGGAAGATCAAAGACAGGGAGTGAGGCACTGAGAGCTTTGAGAGCTGGACAGAGGTGAAGGTCCTTCCTCCTCAGGATGTTTCCAGGAGCTGCTGTCGCTGAATTGCTAATGATCCCACTGATTGCTGGGGGTTATGTCACCCTCAGTCACAGGCAGCAGTAGTGAAACACTTCAGCTGCACATTCAGTTAGTCTGTGTGTCTCTTGTGTGTTCTTTTGACTTTGTGATTTTAGAAGTAAAAAAAAAAAAAGATAATTTGTTGGGGGGAAAAGTCAGTGTGTCCTGTTAATATAGCATGTGAAAATGTTAAAGGGAGTTCATGGGAAAACTGGATGCAACTGTAGAACAACTTGTTTCCAGGATCTGTGCTTGAATTCCAAATAACACGTGTGTGTGGGTCTGAAAGTTGAGAAGACTCAAAACTGAGTTCTCTCCTCTCTTCTGATTTTAACTTGCAGTGCTTAGTGATCCCCAGACCAGAGCCATCTATGACATATATGGGAGGAGAGGACTGGAAATGGAAGGATGGGAGGTGAGAGAAATTCAGCCAGTGGAATTGGCTAAACCCACCTTTATCTGACATGCTTGTTTTATTGAGCTGCACTGACACCTCGATGGTAATAAATGCCTGTTTGTTTGAAGGCATCCTTGCTTAGTTATTTCTGTCTCTTTCTCTCTGCTGAAACACTGTGATAGATTTTGAAAGAATCCTTGGGTTTTTCACTTGACAAGAGAACAATAAACCTGACATTCAGAGTTTCCTAATAGGATATTACTGTGACAGGCAACATCTTTGTCTGAGACAAATGCATTGTGATTGTCCGTCTAATCTCATCTTTTTCATCTGAAACATTTCCTTCAGCATCAGCTGGCCTCTGAGTTTGAAATTACTTTTTCTTTCTGTGCTTTTTGGGGCTGGGTTTTTTTTGCTGGTTTGGTTTTTATGGGCTTTGAAAGAGAACTTGCCTGTTCCTGGCTTTCTTATTAAGTCCCCTGGCTAGCCTCTGCCAGTCGTGGTTGATTGCACTATGCTCCTTGCTGCAGAATCATATTGTATTGGGTCAGGTCAGGACTGAGGTCACATTTGGAGTGAGCAGCAAGAAGTGTGGAGCAGTGGCAGCATGTAACAGACATTTTGGAACTACTTGTGGCAGACTGGATCTGATTTTGAAAAGCCAAATCCAGTACTCTTTCTACCCATACATGGAGCCCTATCTGTTTAAAACCCTCGTTCCCTGAGACGTGTAAGGTAAACAGACATGAATCAGCATAGCCTAAAATCAGAAAATTCTCATTTGGTTTACTTCAGGCCAGAAACTTTCTGTTGTGGGTCCCTTCCAACTCACAACTGTCTATGACTCTATGATTTTTGTATCTCCACCTAGTGAGAAGTCAATGGGTAGCTGTTGGAAATGGCTGTGCTGCAGAATCTTGCAATTGTGGTTTGAAAGCTACTCGCCCTGGTTTTGTCAAGGGAATAGAAATAATAAGACCATTTTCCTTTCTTTCAAAGCCTGGGGTTTCCTCTCATGCCTGCCATTAGATCTGGTCCAGGTGTTTGCTTCCAAACTCTGAATATTGAAATTAATGCAGACTGGTTTCCATCAGCAGCAGAGGCCACACGTTGGCACATACCAGGTCAGCAGAGCTCAGCCCCATCAGCAATGCAACACTCTGAACATCCTCTTTCTGGTAATCTTTTTGGTTTTAATTTCTTTTTGAGCAGGTTGTGGAAAGGAAGAGAACTCCAGCTGAAATCAGGGAAGAATTTGAGCGTTTGCAGAGAGAGAGGGAAGAGAGAAGACTGCAGCAGCGAACTAATCCAAAGGTAAGCAAAGACTTCATCCTGGTCTCAGGAGTGAATCCGTAAATTATTACGAATATGCAAGGTGTGATGAGCCTAGATGACAGGCTATAGTAAATAGACCCTTGGGTATCTGCACTTAGTGAGTTACTTTTCCTTTTCTGAATACACAATTTCTCTGGACACTGTTTTTTGCTAATTCTTTGAACAGGAATCCTATACTGAAAGTTATTTTTCTTTTTTTTTTGTTGAAACATGTAGGAGCAAAATATCTCTTTCAGCAATTTCAAGAAAACAGACCTAACACTGAAATGTTTATTTCATCCTTCCAAGTATTCCAAATAAAATGAAACTCCTGACAGTTTTCCCTTTGACATTGCTGTGGTGTCACAGCAATGCAGGGAGATACTCAGCTTTGAAACCAATGAAAAATGTGAGGCAGCTACCAAACCAGCTGGGCAGCAGCACAGTGAGCAAAATCAGCCCGAACAGGGTTGGAGTCTGGCCACTTTCACAGTTAGTGCCTGTTTTAGGAAAGCTTGATCACGCTTCCAGGGTGAGAGTCATCGAGTATTCCACTCCCATCACTCAGTCTGTTTGAACAGCCATAAACTGACACCAAATGACCCACCTCGCAGCTGAATCGTGGCTGTTCAGAGCTGATCAGGAACACTGTGTTGAGGATGATGGGCTCATGGTAGCATTGGAATGGCAGGGAGAGGTGGAAATGATCAGCCACTGCTTCCTCCATCACCTGCTGCGACTGGAATACTCCCATAGTTTAGAATGCTAATGGCCTTGCTGGCTCCTGCCTTGGTAAGGACACTAGGTTTTGTCAGGATTGTCACTGAGTGATGTTTCAAAGCTTGTTGAAACACAAAAATCTTGGTTTTCATGCTGTGAATAACATTATCCAAGAGCTGCATCTGCACTCACCAAATGTATTCATACTTAGTTTACCTGTATCTGTATTTTTATTGAGTTTTTGGGCTGAAACTATCAGAAACCATTTTGTACTTATTTTTTTAAATGTGTTGGAAATCCATTTCTTCTATATGCAGTATAGAAATAAATCATCCATGGTGGGGAGCCTTAATTTTCCTCTGTCTCCCCCAGGGTAACCATGCAGATATTTATATAGACAAGCTTTCTCCATCTTATAAAAAATAAACTGTAATGAGACATCAATTTTTGTTTTATTTATAAACACTTCTGTTCTTGGTGGAAAACTGGGTATCCCCAGAGCCTTCACTAGAGACTTGCAGTCGATGCAGATTCTGCATCCTGAAGCACAGGTGGCTGTCCTGTTTCGATGGCTTTGAAAGAGGAGGTCTCCTGTGTCGTTGTGTTGGTGTGTGGTGTGTAGCAGTATAACTTCCATAACCTCAGAAACAAACTGCCAGTTGATTAACTAT